CCAGTTGCGGACGACTCTGGGGTTGTGGTGCTCATCTCGCTTTATTGGCCGAGGGAGCCGGCGTACAGCTTCCAGGTCATGTGGCCAGCATGACTAAGCCGCTTCTGGCGAACCAGAGCAGCGCACGAAAACACCATTTACCTTCCCGTCGGAGCGGTACCTATTTATCTACTTGCGCTTTGACGTGCTTTCGAACTGCTAGGTTGGGCAGGAGCAGGGACCGAGCAACGGGAGCTCACCCCGTTGCAGGGATTCGAACCACCGATCTTCTGATCGGCAAGTCCTAGGCTCTGTGGTTTAACCCACAGTGCCACCCACGTCCCTCTCTTTAGCAATTTTACTCGGTGTTAAATACCAATGATACATCATTTTCATATAATTTTCTTTCAACGAACGGCACGCAGTCAATTTTATTTCCTCTTTCCATAACTTTTCCCAGGATGAAAGTTGGCTATTATATGCAAAGTCTCTATCATCACTGCCTTGATTTTTGCAGCCTTCTTGGGGCATGAGCAATGTGCAAGACATGACTTGTCCTTAGTGCCGGATTTACGTATAAGCTGAAGAAGTTATAGCTTAGGGCCCCACAAAAAATTAAAAGGGAAAAAACAACTGGATGTACATTTCCAAAATATAAGATAAAAAACAAATAAAATAAAACCTACCTACAGCAACAGCATATTGTGTTGTGTAGGCTCCTATGATGTAAGTAATGGGCCCCGCCTGCTAGCCTGCTCCCTAAAATATCACTGGTTTGTTCATTTCTATATATAGGGTGCCTACATTCTGCATGTGCAAATGGCTTTAGATACCTAGTAAAGGTAAAGGGACCCTGACCGTTAGGTCCAGTCGCGAATGACTCTGGGGTTGCGGTGCTCATCTCGCTTTATTGGCTGAGGGAGCCGGCGTACAGCTTCCGGGTCATGTGGCCAGCATGACTAAGCCACTTCTAGTGAACCAGAGCAGCGCGTGGAAATGCCGCTTACCTTCCCGCCGGAGCAGTACCTATTTATCTACTTGCACTTTGACGTGTTTCCAAACTGCTAGGTGGGCAGGAGCAGGGACCGAGCAACGGGAGCTCACCCCATCACGGGGATTCGAACAGCCGACCTTCTGATTGGCAAGCCCTAGGCTCTGTGGTTTAGACCACAGTGCCACCCACGCTGCAAATGGCTTTAGATTTTTATTTTTTTAATTTGATTCTGTTATGGCTTTAGATACCTATTAGGCCCATAAATTACCATATAGCATATATTCAACATGAAAAACAGCAACAATTTGTTGTTGACAAAGGACAGCTGGACATATAAAGGGCCCGTTACCTTCAGTAGCTTAGGGCCTCATCAAACCTAAATCCAGCCCTGCCTTTGCATTTTAGCCTCACAACAATGGCTCCATATCCATACTCCTGGAACGGCATGATGGAACACAATTTTGAACAGAAAGAGATACAGGGGCAGTCTTCTGAAGCTGCTCCCGGGCTTCGGGTGTGCAGAGTTGAGTAAGGGCTCTGTTCCACACATTTGAGTGACACGTGTCATTTCCCCCTCGGTCAGGGCAGAGCAATGCACGGGGAAGAGGACATTTGTACAAAGAGCAGACAAATTCAAATCACAGGGCAGGAAAATCTCTGTCTTGTGGCTGCCTGCTGGCAAGGAGTACAACATCCTGTCCCATGCCTTGGCCGGCTTCTGAACCGTAGAAAATGCTTGCGCAGCCGGCAGCCTTGTTTACGCAAAGGAAAATGCCAAGAAGCATGTCAACTGTGTGTACTACTCCTCCGAACGCGCCCAAGCATTAATGCTTACGTGAAGGGAGAGGCTGGGGATGGTGTAGTCTTTTTTAAAGATTAAAGGTAAAGGTAAACCATTAGATCCAGTCGTGGCCGACTCTGGGGTTGCGGCGCTCATCTCGCTTTACTGGCCGAGGGAGCCGGCGTACAGCTTCCGGGTCATGTGGCCAGCATGACTAAGCCACTTCTGGTGAACCAGAGAAGCGCATGGAAACGCTGTTTACCTTCCCGCCACAGCGGTACCTATTTATCTACTTGCACTGGTGTGCTTTTGAACTGCTAGGTTGGCAGTAGCAGGGACCGAGCAATGGGAGCTCACCCCGTTGCGGGGATTCGAACCACTGACCTTCTGATTGGCAAGTGCTAAACTCTGTGGTTTAACCCACAGTGCCACTCGCGTCCCTTTTTAAAGATACCCCATCATAAATCTGGCAACAGGAGAATTTGGTGTGGGGTGAAACCTTTTGACGAATGTCCCCCTCATTCCTTCTGAGAATGTGGTAGTGATGATGATCTTTGCCTGGATGAAAAGGTAAAAGGGGTGGTGGTCTTGTAGTAAGGTTAAAGCTTAATGATACATCATGAAATGAATAGGGTGTTTACAGTAACGTTTGGAAAAACAACACAGAAGCTTTTCTTTTGGGAACTGTAGGGACAGAACTACCTAAACTGTATATTCATGTAGGTGACTACAGTGCTAAGAATGTTACCTGCCCCCAAATGGAAAGAGGCAGAAGTCCCAGGAAAGGAAGAATGGATACAAAAACTTATGGATGGCAAAACATACTGGAAGAATAAGAAATCAAGGTTACATATGCTTCAGGTTACAGACTCCGCTAACCCAGAAATAGTACCTTGGGTTAAAAACTTTGCTTCAGGATGAGAACAGAAATTGTGCTCCGGTGGCACGGCAGCAACAGGAGGCCCCATTAGCTAAAGTGGTACCTCAGGTTAAGAACAGTTTCAGGTTAAGAACGGACCTCCGGAACGAATTAAGTACGTAACCCGAGGTACCACTGTATCTTAAATTGTAAAACAGGAAAATTAATAAAAATTATATACAAAAACACATACACAAAGGGAATCAAAGGATAACTGTAGCTCTCCTGAGACCACCATACCCTGCCTGGGGAGGCTGCCATTTTGAGGGAACCAATGCACCCTGACTGCTCTCAGACACCACATACACCCAAGTCACCCCTAGGAGAAGAGACAGCGGCATCTCTGAGTGGCAACCCCAAAATGGAGATGTGTCTGGTACCACAAAGGCGACCATCTCCTGTCCTTGCTTCTCAGGAGGAAGTCAGATTCCTCATGTGCCCAAAAGACAGTGAGGTAGAAGAGCAGTCTAGGCTTAGGCCAGGCTGAAGCAAAAGTTTCTCCTTGCTGGACAGCTCCTCGTTCGTCCTCAATACCTTGATTCCTGACTCACTGGACAGCTCCTCGTACTCCAGGACTAATCATGGCTGCAAGCCGGGCCTTAGGCACTTAAAGTGGCCATTGGAACAGCCAAGGCAGCTTTCAGACTAGGCAGCCAATGTCAAATCTGTTCTTCATTCAATTCATTCTTGAGATCGCAGGGGAGGATGTGGCCAGGAACACAGCCTTTCAGTGTTTTTCCATGCTATCCTCCCATCCTTTTACAGAGCTGGTCTGCAGCAATATTTCAGAAACTTAAGGTGCAGTCGCAGCGCTTGCTTGTCCAGCACAGGCGGGCAAGGTGAATTTGAGGTTTTGCAGGGTTGCTGTCTCTTATTGTTTCCCTCAGTACGCTAATGTAATCCTTGATCAGTCCCTCATGCAAGTTGCCAGGTAAAAGGTAAAGGGACCCCTGACCATTAGGTCCAGTTGCGGACGACTCTGCGGTTGCGGTGCTCATCTCGCTTTATTGGCCGAGGGAGCCGGCATACAGCTTCCGGGTCATGTGGCCAGCATGATTAAGCCGCTCCTGGCGAACCAGAGCAGCGCACGGAAATGCCGTTTACCTTCCTGCTGGAGCGGTACCTATTTATCTACTTGCACTTCATGCTTTCGAACTGCTAGGTTGGCAGGAGCAGGGTCTGAGCAACAGGAGCTCACCCCGTCATGGGGATTCGAACCACTGACCTTCTCATCGGCAAGCCCTAGGCTCTGTGGTTTAGACCACAGTGCCACCCGCATCCCTGAGGTAAAGGTAAAGGGACCCCTGACCATTAGGTCCAGTCGTGGACGACTCTGAGGTTGCAGCACTCATCTCACTTTACTGGATGAGGGAGCCGGCGGACATACCTTCAAATCTCAGGCTTGGCTAGACAGGTATCCCTAGAGGGAGGGACAGAGAAAGATGGCATCCCTACAGGCTACAGCTGGGATGGGGATCCTTTGACCCTCCAGATGCTTTTGGGCTCCAATTCCCATCAGCCCCAACCAGTATTACCAGTTGTCAGGGCTGAAGTGAGTTGTAATTCAGCAATGTCTGGAGATCCACAGCTTCCCCATCCTGGGGACAGTGACACTTCAAATCATAGAATTGTAGAGCTGGAAGACCACCAGGGTCATGTAGTCCAAATCCACAACGCTGAGATCAAGAAGCTCATGTTCTACTGACTGAGCTATCCCAGCTTTGGGAATTCCTCAAACAGAGGACATCATCTTCTAAACGACGTCTTTAGCCTAATTACACTTTTAACACAGTATTTCACTTCAGAATGAGTTAGTTAACAACACAGGTTGCCTTTTTTTTACTATTATAAACAGTACTTTTTGTTTCTTGTCAATGATATACATCTATAGATAGGGAAAAAGAAAACTCTTCACTGCACCACCTATGAATATCCGCTATAATTTTTCTTAGAATCATTTTATTTACAGCACTCTAAAGTGATTTTATGTTTAGGAAGGAAGGCTTCTGATATCCCTTTGTGTCTTTGGGGCTGAACTATGTGTTCTGGTACTGGGCACATAATTTTGGTTTTGGACATCCTCTGTCAGGGTGTTTTGAGAGGAGATGGCTCTTCACATTTGATGCCTCAGGGCTATCTGTTCCTTGCTGTTGATGCTCCCTAATTCACCTCAACTTCTTCCTCTTGCCTCTGAACTTCCCATGATCCTCTCTGGCCGTCACCATTTTTAGATCCAATTAGCCTCTTACGACTCATGTCGATGAATTCCAGGCCAACTGTTATCTGAAGCATTTATGGCGTCCCTTCTCCTTCGGAGCGTCAGTTTCGTTTAGGGCTCTTTTAGCCCTCAGCGTAAAAGACAGTTTTGCTTGATCTAGGAGACCATTCTAGGAGCCCCTCAAGTGAGGTGAGGGGCTGATTTGGGATGGGTTTCAGAAGAAACTCTCCTCCTACTTTCTGTCTGAGGCTGGGCAGTTTCAATGATAGCAATGTATCGGCTATCACGAGGAACCATAGCTGTAATTTTCCTTTCTTTAAATTAATTGGCTTTCAGCTAATTGTAGACTAGCAGTGGCTAAGCAAGACCAGAATCACTATTACTTATTAAATTTGTATACCTCCCTTCATCCATAGATCTCAGGTTCAACATCATAGTCACAAAAGGAGAATGTAACAGGGGCTGTGGCTTTCCTTGTACCAAACACCTTTCAGAAATATTGTAATTTTTCCTATATTTGTTGGCTTTAATGCCCAGGATGGACTTTTAGGGATATATTCAACTAAGTAGTTCCACACATGTAATACTGGTAGTACAATGGGACTCCTCCCCCCCAACTCCTCTTATCCTTCCTGTGTCATTCGAAATTGAGGGTTGGGAGAAACCCTAGGATGGATTTAGGGGGGCATGGAGAGAAGAGAGGGGGAAAACATTCAATTGTGCAAGGATAAATCCTTCCACTGACAGTACTAGCCATTTTGCCTATGCGGAATACAGCCATTACCTTCTAAATAAGAATTTAATAATGTGCCTTTTGTTTCGTTGTAAAAAACCCCAACACAAAACCTGTCAAGTCTGTAGATCATAGCAGAACAGAAATACGTATATAATATGGTGTTCACAGAGCTGAGCTATCAGAGCCCATGAAGCATTCATCTTTCAGGAACTAATATTATTCAGCTAATCTGTGCGTAGATTAGAGGGTCATAAACAGGGTGGTTGTTGAAGATTGACACATTCTGACGACAAAACCCTTACTCACCTGTGCAAACAGCCCCACAGACTCAGTTTGGATTAGCAATGTCAATTTTGTGTGTGTTAACAGCTCTGGGGATTAGGCGGAAATTCTTCAGCGGGTCTCCTGTCATTGACCTAATTTATCGCTTCACACACAACCGACCAATTTCTCTTCTTGAGTGAGGCATGAACAAGACCATATGCTTGATATTCCTTCTGTTTCTGAAAAGCTGGCTTCGTGCCCTCATCTTACGCAAAACATTTCTGGAATTTCCCCAAGGATAACATCTGTGTTGCTGCCGCGTTTCCAACCGAGTGGAAAGGAGCAGCGCCCCAGCCGCTAAACCGAAATGTTCTTACGCATCGGGGTGATCCAAAAGCAACATAAAGTAGGAGATTTGGTCTTAATAACGACTGTGACAAAACAAAAGCTTACTTGTGTGATAAAACATGCTTACTCAGATGGCATTTTCCCCCACCTTACTTCAGAGACTTAGCTTTCACTCAGATGTTAAATGTGTATCTGGCCTGTACCAGATCAGACTTCGGGCTGGAGTTCAGATGACTGAACGCTGCTCCATACGATGCTATTTCCCACAAGTTGAGCTAAATAAGGCTGCACATAGTAAAGGTAAAGGGACCCCGACCATTTGGTCCAGTCGTGACCGACTCTGGGGTTGCGGCGCTCATCTCGCTTTACTGGCCGAGGGAGCCGGCGTACAGCTTCCGGGTCATGTGGCCAGCATGACTAAGCCGCTTCTGGCGAACCAGAGCAGCGCATGGAAACGCCGTTTACCTTCCTGCCAGAGCGGTATCTATCTACTTGCACTTTGACGTGCTTTCAAACTGCTAGGTGGGCAGGAGCTGGGACTGAGCAACGGGAGCTCACCCCGTCACGGGGATTCAAACCGCTGACCTTCTGATCAGCAAGTCCTAGGCTCTGTGGTTTAACCCACAGCGCCACCCGTGTCCCTAAGGTTGCACATACACAGCCTTTAAAACACACAGCATCCCTCAAAGAATCTTGGGAACTGTAGTTTAAAGGTGCTGTGAACAGTAGCTTGGCGAGGGTTAAAATATAGTTCCCAGGATGCTTGAGGGTAAGCCATATGTACATGTGCTGGGGATTTGTTTGGCTTTTGAGTGGAGGGACATTTAACCATGAGAAACCCTACCTGTAGCTTGAATGGGGTGGATGAAACACTGGTTGACCACCTCAGTATAAAGCAAAGGTTAAGTTACCGTATTTTCGCTCTATAGGATGCACTTTCCCCCCTCCAAAAATGAAGGGGAAATGTGTGTGCGTCCTATGGAGCAAATGCAGGCTCCTTGGCTTCAGTGATAGCAACGTGAAACCTCCGAAGTCCAGAGGGAGAGCTCCCCCCGCGCTCCTTGGCTTCACGTTGCTTTCGCTGAAGCTGCCGGAAGCCCCCGGAGCGCAGGGAACTCCCGCTACGCTCCGGGGGCTTCAGGCAGCTATCCGCAAGCCTTCGGAGTTACTGCTGCGCTCCGAAGGCTTGCAGATAGCCGCCTGAAGCCTGGAGAGTGAGAGGGGTCGGTGCACACCAATCTCTCTTGCTCTCCAGACTTTGCTTCGCTGGAGAGGCGCTGCACAGTTTTCCCTCTCTGCGCAGCGCCCCTTCAGCGAAGCGGGAGGAGAAATGGAAGGGGCTCCGTTTCTCCTCCCGCTTCGCTGAAGGGGCACTGAGCAGAGAGGGGGAGAAATTTCCCCCCCTGTTCTCCCCCTCCTATGGTCCGGTGCGTCCTATGGTCCGGTGCGTCCTATAGAGCGGTCTTGGGCTGGTTAACATTCTATGTCCTTTTAAATGTGTTTGCAAGGGGGGGGGATTGTTTTGTCCTTGTTCTTATTGTGCATTTTGTGTTTTTACATTGCATTTTTTTGCTGTGAATGGCCCCAAGATCTTCTGAGGAAGAGTGGCGTACAAATTTAATAAATGAATAAACAGAATAAAATACGCGTGATTTCAGATTAAAGCTTACAGTGCTAGACTGCATAGTAAAAATAATAGATCTCATGCTTGCCAGCACCACACACACACACACACACACACACACACACACACACAATCCCATTGATCCACAACACAGATCCTGACAGGGAGCTCTATCATTTGTATATAAAGACAAGAAAACCAATAGCAGTTCATAGAACCTTTCTATGTACACAGAGGTTGCTTATGATATGATGTGGTTTTAGGCAGATCCCACATTTATTTATGTATTGTTTAAAAGAGGATTCATAAGGATCCATGCCTCGGATCCATATCTTTGCACCATGGCAGCACTGGAAAGTACCACATTCGTGAATGTCACAGTTAAGTCGATGGAGACGGATAGGCAGTTGGAAAAAAACCAACTGTTTAAGCAGAGGCTTGACAATCATATGTCAGGAGTGCTCTGATGGTGTTTCCTGCTTGGCAGGGGGTTGGACTCGATGGCCCTTGTGGTCTCTTCCAACTCTATGATTCTATGATTCTATGTGGTTTCAAGAGGAATTTGAAGCAAGCACAATCTACTGCCAACCAGTCTTCTCAGTTGCAAGAAAACATTTAATGTAGCCATTGTATGATTGAAGGTCAAAATGAGTTACAGGCAAAATGCAGTCGCTTGGCTTCTAGAAATAATTGGCTCCGACGGTACATTTTAGAAGATATACACGTACCGGCAAGGAAGTACATCAAAATAAATGTCTAAGTGTGCTTTTGCCATATTAATTATACTCCCTGCTAGGAATGCGTTTCCCCCTGAGAGGGGAATCCACACAATAGTTTCGGTACAAACAATAGGCTGGAACAGCAAAACATGATACTGCGGATTTGCATATGCGAACGGGCTTGACCTGTTTGATACGGAACAGATCAACACACCATGGATACATGAATGTAATGCCCCGCCTGACTTCTGTCTTTTTAGTGGTGACATATATATTGGCCTTTAGGCTAGTCTTTTCAGAAAATAATAAGAATAAAAGATTGAGGCAAATACTCTACAGCAGGGGTGTCCAACTTGGGGAAATGATCCTTTTGCAGGGCCTGCAAGACAGAGCTGTTCTGCCTGGCCTTTGGTCCAGGCCCAGTTTGACCCCACTCTATGGGACCCTGTAAGTTACCTCTTTGGCTCTTTTATCTTTTATCATGTGGGACTGTGATAGGAATTTTATGCTCTTAGATATATGGTAATGTTCATAAGTGTATCAACCAAGCACGTACATAGATCAGCACAGGAAGTCCAACCTGGAACCATTTTGATTCCTAAACTGACCAAATCTTTTCTCTGCAAGGTCAAAATGGAAAAGCCTCCCCATTGTCTTTTCCTTCACAAATCCTGTCTTAGGGATATGTCTGTGTTTGAATAGGGTGTGAGCCTGTGACCTGGCCCAGGAACTAAGTATTTATCATTACAAAAGACTAGCCAGGCTACCCAGGAAATCCAATCAAGTAACCTGCCAGACAGGAGATAAACAACAACAGGAGAAAAACAATATTAAAATTTCTGTTTTAGACCGCCTTTTCTGTGATGTAGGTGTGATGTATCTGAGGGGTGGTCTTAGGTTACACCCCTTCTGTGATGTATGTATGATGTTTCTGGGGGTGGTCTTGATCTACAGGGCTGCAATTTCAAAAGTCTTTATAAGGCCTTGCCCGCCATTGTTCTGGGTTCCTCCTCTTTTCCTGCGTGTGAGGGGAGCACCCTGTTGCAACAGATCAATAAAAGATCAAGCTTACTAGCTGCTTTGCTTCTCAATATTCTCTGGTTGGCCTCCGTTATTTTCTCCTACCAATAGGGAACCTATGTAAGGACTCTATATGGGCTCTTGGATACCCCATAAGGGAAAAGGGCAATTTTTGTTTACAACAGGACCAACATGGATAGCTGGCCCTGAGGAATACTTGAGGTTCCCGACCCCCTATGGTTGTAATTCGTAGGCAGTCATTTAATTTTATGCTGATTCTAATTTTTATCAATTGTTTGATTGTGTTTTAATGTATTTGATGTTAGCTGCCCTGAGCCCGGTCTTGGCCGGGGAGGGCGGGGTATAAATAAAAATATATTTACTTACTTACCTACAAAAAGCTCCACTTCCATAGAAGCAGCAGCAAGTATTGTTCTAACATTCTATCATGTTCAAACATGTTTGTCAGGGGCACTTCCTGGTCTGGCTATTGACAAAATAGCTCTCTGAGCCTGTTAAGAAGCTTTGCCCTTTATTACTAAAGGAACTATTGTTTGTGGTCCAAAATTAATATTACTGAATATGTCGATGGTGCCAGTGCAGGTGTATTGCCAAAGGAATTGGTCCTATATATCAGGGCAGCCCAACTTTTCGTACCAAGTGGGTTGCAAGAGTACTTTGACATGGAATCTGCACATTGCCTTGTCACATGCTGGGAGGGAGCGAGGCCAAAATTTGACACACACCCCTGCCCTCCTGCTACCTTCCCAAAGCTGGGAATGCCCTAACTAGGCTTTGGGAAGGTGTGAGGGCCGGGGGCAGCCCATCAAATGTTCCTGAGGGCCGCCAAAAAAGGCCTTGGGCTGTGCGTTGGACCACCCTGTTGTATATTATTTTAACAGCAAGAATTATAATTGTAACTTGGTACCCCTCACTCTGGAATATAACTGCAATGGAGAAAATTACACATAATTTGAGATTTCAACAAGGACTGGAACCTTCAGATACTTTATACGATTTGGAATTATTTTATGACATATACAGCGGAGCCATCATTTTCAAGACAACCCCCATTACAAGCCTAGAAAATCTGGAACTGTACTTGAAGATCTGATAAAGCTGATTAACTTTGTTGTTGTTTAGTTGTGTCCGACTCTTCGTGACCCCATGGACCAGAGCACGCCAGGCACTCCTGTCTTCCATTGCCTCCCGCAGTTTGGTCAGATTCATGTTTGTAGCTTCGAGAACACTGTCCAACCATCTTGTCCTCTGTCGTCCCCTTCTCCTTGTGCCCTCCATCTTTCCCAACATCAGGGTCTTTTCCAGGGAGTCTTCTCTTCTCATGAGGTGGCCAAAGTATTGGAGCCTCAGCTTCAGGATCTGTCCTTCCAGTGAGCACTCAGGGCTGATTTCCTTCAGAATGGATAGGTTTGATCTTCTTGCAGTCCATGGGACTCTCAAGAGTCTCCTCCAGCACCATAATTCAAAAGCATCAATTCTTCGGCGATCAGCCTTCTTTATGGTCCAGCTCTCACTTCCATACATCACTACTGGGAAAACCATAGCTTTAACTATATGGACCTTTGTTGGCAAGGTGATGTCTCTGCTTTTTAAGATGATTAACTTTACTTGGACTTTATTTTAACTTATGTGCAGCTACTCATTCTATGTGCCTCTTTTGTAGTTTTGTTTCTCATCTTCCAATTTTCTCCTGATGCTATAATTGTCCTCTTTAAAATCTTTACAAAAAGAGTCAGATTTGACCTTAGGAATGGCGAGGAGACCACCTTTCACACGAACAGATAATTTATAAGCTTTTACTCCATCTTCAGGAACGGCATGTTTACCTGTTTCCTATGGAATAAATTGCAGGCTTTCATGAACTCTATCCGCCTCCATCTCAAAGAGAAGAAGAAACCTGAGCTGCTTTTTGAAATAACAATTTTCTTTTAAGGACCTGTCATGGTTTTCTGATGAATTGTGAACGTTTTGACAGGGGGAGGGGAAGCTGCGTATAACAGGAAATCAGAATCATGAGTCACTTGCAAATATTTATTACCTGCCTATTTGTAAGATCTGAATTGACTTTTGCGGAACTCTCGTTTCTAGGATAGGTGTGGAGTGGGGGAAATTCCTGCTTCAAAGGTCAAAGCCAGGACTCTGAACTGAGGCCAGAAACTAACTGGTAGCCAGCGCAGTTGTGCCAGAATTGGCCTAATATGTTCAGACTTTCTGGTCCCAGTCAATAATCTGCCCACTGAGTTCTGCACCAACTGTAGAGGGATTCAAGTTACAAGAAAGGGGATTCTGGCTAAATATCAGGAAGAACTTTCTTGACAGTGGAATGGGAGGTTGTGGACCTTCACCGGAGGCTTCTAAGTAGAGTCTGGATGGTAATCTGTCATGGATGCTTTAGCTAAGATTCCTGCATTGCAGGAGCTTGGACTAGGTGACTCTCAAGGTCCCTTCCAGACAGTGTTAGAAATTATTCAGGAGCCAGGAGCATTTTGCTACTAACATGGGTTCAATTGTGGAGATCTCTGGATGCCAGATTGGCTTTGACATTGGTTCCTGCCATGTCAGATGGGGACTTCCCAAGCGCCATCTGAAAACCAGTTGGATCCATCAGCCTCCTTGGGCGGACCATTCTAATAGATCCCCCACCTCTGTAGAAAGCCACTGAAAATCTAAAACTCATCAGAAGAGGACCCAACCATGAAAGATGCAGCCCTACCCATTTACAGAGGAAGGGCTGGGGGGGAAAACCCTAAGATGGCAAAGTTAACGTGCTTAGAGAAAAATCAAAATTGTCAACATTTATTCAGAACGGGAAACTTCTTACAGACTTCTTGCATGAAAGAGAAAACAAACTTGTAATGTTGGGACATGGAGATTGAAAAGAATACTGGTTTACAGAAGATGGTTGGATTTTATGAGTGAATACTATATTTAGCTGCAGGACAGAGAACCGGAAGTCATTTTATCTTTCTTTAATCTCTCTCTCCTCTTCTTTTGCTTTCTCTCTCGCTTTTATTTTCGTTCTTTCTGCCTTTATTCTTTTTTAGATTAAGAAGCTGTTTTGTTTCAGTGTATTATGTAAAGATACCTTGCCATGGGTATGAACCTTTCTATATTTTTTAATAAGTCTATCCATATCTATATCTATCTATCATCTATCTATCTATCTATCTATCTATCTATCTATCTATCATCAGCATCTAATCTCTATCATCTATCCTCTCTCTATCTCTCTCTCTCTCCCTCTCTCTCATCTATCAAAAAAGAGAAGGATTCAACCAAGACAAGACATTGATGTTACAAATTCCCCACTCTGAGATCACCCTCTTTCTGCCCTGTTGAGAAGACCAGATCAGAGTGTGACCCGCCACATGCATTGGGCAGATGACATGTTAGGAGGGCCCCATGGTTGTCACAGCAGTGATAAAGTTCAGCACCACCCCAGACTTAGTGACCACAATATGAATGTTGAGCCATTAAAGGGGATTAAGGGACTTGGTGCAAGACGGCAAATGGGTGGGGGGCCCTCCCTCCACAGACAAAGCCAGAGTTTGGAGTAATAATAATAATAATTTATTTATACCCTGCCCATCCGGCTGGGTTTCCCCAGCCACTCTGGGCGGCTTCCAAAAGAATATTAAAAACACAATAAAACATCAAACATTAAAAGCTTCCCTAAACAGGGCTGCCTTTAGATGTTTTCTAAAAGTCAGATACAGTGGTACCTTGGGTTAAGAACTTAATTCGTTCCGGAGGTCCGTTCTTAACCTGAAACTGTTCTTAAGCTGAGGTACCACTTTAGCTAATGGGGCCTCCTGCTGCCGCCGCGCCACCAGAGCACGATTTCTGTTCTCATCCTGAAGCAAAGTTCTTAACCTGAGGTACTATTTCTGGGTTAGCGGAGTCTGTCACCTGAAGCATCTGTAACCTGAAGTGCCTGTAACCTGAGGTACCACTGTAGTTGTTTATTTCCTTTTTGACATCTGATGGGAGGGCGTTCCACAGTACAGGCGCGACTACCGAGAAGGTCCTCTGCCTGGTTCCCTGTAATTTGGCTTCTCATAGTGAGGGAACCACCAGAAGGCCCTTGGAGCTGGACCTCAGTGTCCAGGCAGAACGATGGGAGTGGAGATGCTCCTTCAGGTGTAGAGTTTTGGGGAGTGTTGTGAATTGATATTTGTTCTTCTGATTCAGCAGTAAACTGCGGGTTTTCCCAAGTGGTGGGACAAAATAAAAACCTCTCAGACCTGTGCCTAGAAATAACAGAATAAACAGAAGTGTGGTTGAGCCCATTCTCTGGAATTCTTAGAAAAATCTGATTAGGCGCATGTTTCATTGGCCTCACAAAATAAATCACTATCTCTCTTTTTTAAAAAATAATTTTTTATTCAAAATTAAGACGAAACATATTATCCAGAAAAATATCATCCTTATTCCCCCTCCATTTTTCCTCCCTCCCCCCACAGAATCCCCCCACCCCCCAACTTCCCTCAGTTCCAGTCTTTGATTTCTCTAAAAATGCTGTTTTCTGCATGTAACACAGTTGTATAGATCCTCAAACTATTTAGCTGATTATTATCAATAAAAAGTTTGTGAATGTTTATTCAAAACCAGCCAAGGAGTCCAGTTCGCTTTGTTGCGTCTTCAAATACTTTGTAAAGGGTTCCTATTCATCTTTAAAGTCACAGTTATCCTTGTCCCTTAGTTTGTCAGTTTTGCCAGTTCTGCATAGTCCATCAATTTTTCTTGCCATGATTCTTTAGTTGGGGTTTCTTCAGTCTTCCATCCTTGTGCTACCAGAACTCTTGCGGCCGTTGTCGCATACATGAAGATGTTTTTCAACTTTTTTGGCAGGTCTTTCCCTACAATCCCTCACAAAATGTTTAACAAATGTTAAATGGAACATTTTCTTCAATTCGTTGTATATCATTTCCCAATTTTTTTTAATTACCTTACAATCCCACCACATATGATAAAATGTCCCCTCCTTTTCAAAAGAATTCACTCTCTACCCTGAAACAACATGTGTCATCCACCCAGCGGATGCCCGCCTTTGCTGCGTAGCTAATGAAACGATTCCAATTTTTAAAAGGACGCACAGACTACAAAGGTGTTCACCTACGGAAGTTGCATCAAAATGGATTGGTTAAGAGCCCTTTAGTGCTCTTCAGACTCAGCCGCCAGACGTTTCAACAGAGCTTGTGTAGAAGGAAGTTTAAGTGGATTGTGCTGTGGGGTTTCCTTGTGTTCTTTGTATGATTTAATGTGGCTGACAAAACTCGTTTTCTCAAGAGTTGGCCAAGGAATGTGAAACTGAGATACTAACAATCTTGCTCTCTAGCTTTGGACAAATGCAAGTTCCCTAGCCCCGCAAAAAAAAACACACAAAAAAACCACTTTGGGAATTTTGTGGGGAAATTACCCAAACGCTTCTGGAGAACTAGAAATCTGTTTAGGAAGTTTATGACTGTGTGAGAAGCATACGTATTTGAGGAATTCTTCTAAGCATTAATCACGAATTTGTTGAAGCAACTGAACTGAAACATCAGTTAATATGTTAACCACTGCAGCTTCAAGCGGATTTATAGAGTTAGCAGAAGCAAAACTCCATTCTTAGGGTAAATTTGTAGCTATTACCTCCTTGGTTATCAAGGACTTAGAAAAGATTGTGATCGGGTTCTTTTTTTATAATCTTCTAGCAGCCATTAAGGGTGCCCAGTTGTGTCCCAGAGGTTCAACCCCAAGTTATCATTTAGGCTACTGAACTGAAAAGTCAATTAATGTGTTACAAGTGCAGCTTCCAAGGAATTGGTTGCTGTTTCATTATTTAGCAATATGCTTGTTACTTACTAGAACAAAAGACCTCTAAGGGGTTTACAGCAGGCAGCCTAAATTACTCATTAGAAACACCAACAAAAGCATTAAAAACAAATTACTTTATCTATCTATCTATCTATCAATCTATCTATCATCTATCTATTGTGTGTTTGTTTGTTTGTTTGTTTGTTTGTTTGTTTGTTTGTGTGTGTGTCTGTAATTTTAAAATGATGGGGAATAAATTGGTAGATAATATTTAATCCTAGATCCCTATGCGATGTATGGAAGTGAGAGCTGGACCATAAACAAGGCTGATCGCAGAAGAATTGATGCTTTTGAATTGTGGTGCTGGAGGAGACTCTTGAGAGTCCCATGGACTGCAAGAAGATCAAACCTATCCATTCTGAAGGAAATCAGCCCTGAGTGCTCACTGGAAGGACAGATCCTGAAGCTGAGGCTCCAATACTTTGGCCACCTCATGAGAAGAGAAGACTCCCTGGAAAAGACCCTGATGTTGGGAAAGATGGAGGGCACAAGGAGAAGGGGACGACAGAGGACGAGATGGTTGGATAGTGTTCTTGAAGCTACCAGCATGAGTTTGACCAAACTGCGGGAGGCAGTGGAAGACAGGAGGGCCTGGTGTGCTCTGGTCCATGGGGTCACAAAGAGTCGAATACAACTAAACGACTAAACAACAACAACAACAGATCCCTATGTGTGTAGGTGAAGAAACAAAGGAATACAGCTTCCCGCTTGTATTCAAAGCACAGGCCTGAACAGACTCTCCAGCCGGAGATTTTCACGAGGAGTTTTATTGCAAAGTGATGTGGAAGAGTGGGGAAGTGAATTTAAGATTGGAAAAACGAGAAACTGATAGAAATTAACATACCTGTTCTTCCCTGTTCCTTAGAGCCTGGAGCAGCATTCTACTGGAGGACAACAGCATGGATGGAACTGTGAACAGGCCCATTCCTGCTTGGAAGTGAGGAGGCTGCGCTGCAACATTTTGTTGTAGATCCAACCTGCTTTCTCTAGTTGTGACCTCAGTTGAAAATAAAAAGAGACTTCCCCAATAATAAGGTCGCGGCTGGTTTCTGTATGCTTAGTCGGGGGGGGTTGTAGGTTGGTAAACACAAGTAAATTTTGTAAATTTATATTTTTTATAATTTATATTTTTTATAATTTATAATTTTTTGTAAATGTTTGTAAATTACAGGAGAAAGGGGGGTGGGGAGCCAAAAAGGGGGTGCTGTGGTATTGAAAGGGCTAGAGCCTTGGTTGTAACGCACATCACTTTCATTTACCGTACTTGCCCTTTCATTTACTCCAAACCAAATGAATGTAATGACTCAAGAATCTTAATAGCAAAATACTGGAAAAACGATTTAACACCAACAAAAGACGACTGGCAGTTAGAGTTGTGCGAGTACCCTGAATTCCCCAAAATGACAGAGTTAATTAGAAATCAGGCAGAAGATAAGGTTAAAAAAGAATGGGATTGCTTTAAAAATTATCTGAAAAAACATGGCTCCAAATAACAGCACTTGGTTGTGTTTAGATTAATTCCGCAGAAAGGGAACCCCCCCCCCCCGATTGTTTGGACAAACAATTAAATACAGATTATTTAAATGCAATAGTGGAGTTGAAACCGCAAAGAGATAGAGCGAAGTCAACAAACTCATAAGGGGCTCAAAGCAGAATGAAGGTAACTTCTGTATAGGATTTTGTGTACAGAATATTCAAGTTATGGTTTGTACTCCTTAAATAATGTTGCAAATGATAAATAATTTTTCTTTCTTTGTTTTGTTTTGCTCTCCTTTTTTCTTTCTCCTTTTTAATTTTATTATTTTTTATTATTTTCTTTTTTGTTCTAGATATTTAAATATTCTCACTATATAATTTGCACCAGTTTTTTTTTTTCTTATTGTAGAATATGTAGTTTAGGTTCAGTTTATTATTGTTATTCTTCTCATTGTACATTTCAAAAATGTAATAAAGTATTAAAGAAGAAAAACGCAAGGTATTGTGTTCAGAGTCCGTTTTTGTGGGGAAAGGTAGCTGTGAACTCGCTGGTAAAATGCCAGAAAGCTGGATGAACCAAACCTAACCATCTCCATGCTTCTAGAGGCTTCAACCTAGATGCATCTCTTGAAACCCGAGATCATCTTGCATCACATCCAAGATAAAGCAGTGATGAAGGCCTGCTGAATTAATGAAGAGAAGTTTTATCATCCACTGGGTTCCTCTGATGCAGATCAAGTAAGACTCTATAAGACTCACTTTTTCCCTCCTAAAAAGTGAGGGGAAATGTGTGTGCATCTTACGGAGCAAATGCAGGCTGCGCAGCTATCCCAGAAGCCAGAACAGCAAGAGGGATTGCTGCTTTCGCTGCACAGCGATCCCTCTTGCTGTTCTGGCTTCTGGGATTCAGAATATTTTATTCTTGTTTTCCTCCAAAAACTAGGTGCGTCTTGTGGTCTGGTGCGTCTTATAGAGCAAAAAATACGGTATCTTTGCTTCTAATACCTCCTAACTCAGAAGCAAACCGAGCGAAATTAATTGTTGAGTTTCTCTTTGCTTTGGAAGGTTGCAAATAGACACACACACACAAAAAAACCACACGGACAAATACATTGACTTCTAGCAGCTTGTAACTACGAACCAAGGAGAGCCAGTAATGGTAAGATTCAGTTTTAAACAAATTCCAATGGTGTAGCATAGCCAATAAATAGCCTTGTTAGTTGGCTGCAGCAAAATCAGCAAAGAATCCTGACCCCTTAAAGCTAACCATTTTATGATAGTATCAGCTTCTCTCTTTTTGGATAGGTGCATCTGACGAAGTGGACTGCAGTCCACAAAAACTTATGACATGACAAATTTGTTTGTCTTTAAGGTGCCACAAGACTCGCTGAGCCTCACGGAAATCTTCCATTTTGGAAAATTGCAGATATAGTCACACTTGACTTTTGCACAACTCCGGAAAGCTTTTACAGAGTTACAATTAAATACAATAAACTCTGCTTATAGAGATGGGAGACATAGAGGCATACCAGTAACCGAACGTGTTTGTATTAGGGGATGTCCTGAATTAGAGGACCTTACGCATTATATTTTGCTCTGCCCCTTATATCTTGAAGCAAGAGAACTGTTTTTGACACTTATAATGATAAGGTCCCCTGGCCAGAATCCTTCTGACAGGATTCTATATCTCCTTGCAGACATTGATAAGCATGTGACCTGGAGAGTTGCACTTTTTGCAACTGCCGCCAGGAAAATTAGAAAAAAATTATATAGCCGATATCGTTATCAACTGTAAAGGAGATGAATTTATTTGACCCCATCTACACCAAGCTGTATCTTTCTCACTAAACTTTGTACATAATTGTCTATTGTATTATTTAACATTACTTTTAATATATTAGTGGCCCCACGGTGATTTTAGCTTATAAATTCTATTGTTTAATGTTTCAATTTGTATACTAAGGAGTTTCTATAGCTTTGTGCAGATTAGGTCATGTTTTGACAATGTAAATGTTTTAGGTTTTCGTATCAAATTAGTATATATTAGTATATATATATATAGTATACAAATGACATTGTATACATTGCAGCAGCCTTTGGCTATAAGCAATAAACTTGACTGACAGATATTGTCACACAGGAAAGCACACAAAATGTAGTTGCCCAGTATAGGACAGGTATGGTTAACATCAATAAAGCCGCTATTCACCTTATGTACTTCACTGGGTCACCATGGAGAGTTTGGGAGTTTCCTGGAAACACAAGCTAACTGGTGCGTTGGTACGTAAATCGGTCACAAGACAGGGAGGTTCAACAACTGTTAGTACAACGACACGTTAGTGGGCAATTTTTAATGGGCATTTTCCAGGCGCCATAGGCCGCACCAAGGTTTGATAGGCTGAGAAGATCTTGAGATCTTTAATGTAATGTGTAGTTTGTCCAAAAGACAAGAAGATGGCAACCGCCTGATCCATCTCAAATCTATTTGATATGTCCTATACCTGTTGCAGGACCCCCCCCCCCATCATTCAGTTTGTACAAACAAGACACACACACATTCACACACGACATAAGCGACCCTTCTGTTATAAATTCAAAGAAAATCACCCTGTGCTGGTCCAGGGGAGAGGTTACCGTGGGGCGAGGTCCTGGACCTGAGTTGAGGGTCGGCAGACAGTCCTCCTCGGGCGAAGCAGGGTCCGAAGCGAGAAGCCGGGCAAGGACAGGAACTCTGGGGAAACAGGACTGGATGCTGGCTGAAACAGCTCTTCAACGACGTTGCTCCCGTAACCTGGGACCGGGCTGACTGGCCTTTATCTTCTCTGAGGCCAGGGGCGGTCCCGGCCCCCAGGAGACCCGCCTCTCCTGGCCTTAAGGCAAGCACTCCTCCTGGGAGAAACCAGTTCCCTTCGCCTCTCTGCCCTGAGCCTCTGCAGTTCAGGAGAGGCTGAAGGGTTACTGGACCCAGGGGGAGACTCACCTGTAGGCACTGAGTCCTCAACCACCTCTGGGGCCAGAGTGGATTCACCTGGTGCCTGCTCCTGAGGATCCGGCACAGGTGCAGGCGCTTCAGAATCAAGGCCCTGCCCCAGTTCAGCCGGCCCTGGAGGTGGGGACTCCTGTGCAGGCTGGGATTCCTCCGGTTCAGCCTCTGAATCGGATTCCCAGGCCATCACACACCCGTACATCGGATCTGTACTGTTCCACTTTTATTTTACACGATGAAGGAAGGACTATCAAAGGGGGGAGTCTTAACACGAGGCAGCCAACACATCCGCAGCGAGCCCTACCCAGTTAGCATGACAACCTTGATGGTCCTAGACAGAAGATCATTACACTCACAAAGGACCTGCATATGGGAGTGGATTCACCGCGGACTGAAACAAAGGACAGTGATCAGCTCTTCCCTCTGGAGACAGGAAACTGCAAACTCCCCTTTGTCTTCTGGAAAGTACTCATGGGGAGGGGGAAAGGAGGAACCGGCCAGGTGACAAGACACTCAGGTTACCACCCCAACTCCTCCCTCAACCCTTCCTTTTTGTGATGTGTCAATGATGTAGTCATGATGTAGTTGTGATGTAGTCTTAGGGGTGTAGCATGAGGGATTAGTAGCTAATAAAGGTTGGGGTCTCCTTTTGTTCAGGGCTTCCATCTTGCTTCGACTTGCAGTAAGTGGGAGTCCTGTCACGACAGTCTTCAATAAAGACCAAGCCTACTGGCTGCTGTTTTGCTCCAATTGTCCTGGTTGGTGTCTTTGCTTTTGTCCAAGGGAGCCCTCGGATTTCTCTGTTAACATATCAGGCTTCCTCAACCTCGGCCCTCCAGATGTTTTTGGCCTACAACTCCCATGATCCCTAGCTAGCAGGACCAGTGGTCAGGGATGATGGGAATTGTAGTCTCAAACATCTGGAGGGCCGAGATTGAGGAAGCCTGTCCTATATTATTAACACACTGGAATAAACCATGTTTTGACTGTATACGTACAAGCCTGACTAAAATTCATGCAAACCTCTCTTTCTTCCACCCCACTCCCAGCATGTTGTTGTTTAGTCGCCTTAGTTGTGTTCGACTCTCTGTGACCCCATGAACCAGAGCATGCCTTGGAAATTCTTCCTTTCTTCTCAAAGCTTCCCCTTTTTTATGTCCATGGAGTTTTCTTGCCAAAATACTGGAGTAGTTTCCCAGTTCCTTCTCCAGGTGGATCACATTTAGTCTAAACTCTCGGCTATGACCTGTTCGTCTTGGGTGGCCCTGCATGGCATATCTCACAACTTCTTGGAGCTATTGAAGTCCCTTCGCCACGACAAGACAGTGATCCATGAAGGGGACCCCCAACATAGTTATTCCCTATTTTCTTTCCGATTTTGAAGCAAGCTGTGGCGTTTGCCCATTCCTCATGATGATGTTTGTACAGGGGGATGGAAACGGTTACTGTAGATTGACCAATGAGAAAGCTCAGAGGCGGAGCCTACCTGGTTTTGAGGTTTACCATGGGGAGTGAGGGTCAGACAGAGGCAGTAAAAGTCAAATGTAGTGGTTGTGACTGTTAGAGTGAGAGACAGGGATAGAACTGAGAGAGGAGTGTGACAGTGTGAGATATTGCCACATCTAGTTAAGGGCGAGCATTTGAGAAACTGTTCTGAACATATTTAAAACCTGTTTGTTCTTCAATCAACTTTAATCTTCGTTGTTGACTTTACAACCTGAATGAGACTCAGTATTTCACCAGAAGAAACCTGGTTGGTGGCAGCGGAAGAATAAAGCAATGGTGTACAGGTCAATAGTCCGTGAAACGACTGGGAGCCCTGTACGAACGCCACACAAGCCTTTGTTGTTTAGTCGTTTAGTCGTGTCCGACTCTTCGTGACCCCATGGACCAGAGCACGCCAGGCACTCCTGTCTTCCACTGCCTCCCGCAGTTTGGTCAAACTCATGCTGGTAGCTTCGAGAACACTGTCCAACCATCTCGTCCTCTGCCGTCCCCTTCTCCTTGTGTCCTCCATCTTTCCCAACATCAGGGTCTTTTCCAGGGAGTCTTCTCTTCTCATGAGGTGGCCAAAGTATTGGAGCCTCAGCTTCACGATCTGTCCTTCCAGTGAGCACTCGGGGCTGATTTCCTTCAGAATGGATAGGTTTGATCTTCTTGCAGTCCATGGGACTCTCAAGAGTCTCCTCCAGCACCATAATTCAAAAGCATCCATTCTCCGGTGATCAGCCTTCTTTATGGTCCAGCTCTCACTTCCATACATCACTACTGGGAAAACTATAGCTTTAACTATACGGATCTTTGTTGGTAAGGTGATGTCTCTGCTTTTTGAGATGCTGTCTAGGTTTGTCATTGCTTTTCTCTCAAGAAGCAGGGGTCTTTTAATTTCGTGGCTGCTGTCACCATCTGTTGCAATTTTCCAGTTCTGGCGTGCAAGGCCTGATCCGCAGGTTCAGGGCAAATGGCATACAGTTACTTGCCTGAAACTAGACAAGGAGCCAAAAAATCACTGTGTGCAAGAGAAGGGAGTGCATGGGCCAAAGAACCAGGTGAAGCCCATGCCCTTAAGGCTACTTAAGGTAGGTGTGATGAACCTTTAGTTCTTCAGATGATGCTGAACTAGCTTCTCCTGGTACCCAACATCAAAGCGTTGCTTTGATCGACTTCCATTTGGACCTCTCACCATTGCATGCCCTCTCCACCAGGCGAATGGTCTCCTGGTAGCAATTTTCCACAAATATTCAGGAAAGGAAGGAGATAAGAACACCCTCAATAAGAAAGGGTTGATGGAGTCGGCCATTGCCATTTTTGAAATGGATATTCAAATCCACACCCTCGATCAGAAAGCAAATGATGGATAATAATAATAATAATAATAATAATTTAATATTTGTACCCCGCCCATCTGGCTGGGTTTCCCCAGCCACTCTGGGCGGCTTCCAACAAAGATTAAAGATACATTAAAATAATAAAATTTATATCTACGTACCAAAAGATATTTACTTTCTCAACTTCCCCATTTCCCGAGAAATGGAATGTTTGCACAACACCCTCCCTGACCACTTAGTAATGTTCAGTCACTTAAAAACCAGGAAAGAGAGACATTTCCTTATTACCCAATATTTTTTTTACTTGATGACAATGCAAAATATTGTCATGTTGTTATGTCGCATGCTCATGGCAGTTTTATAATTATCCATTATACAGTAATGGTAAAAAAAAATCTTTTTATATTATTTTTATTCTTATTATTAATCCGATTAATCCGATTTATCCCATGCATCACTTTGTGTACTTTGGTTAGAAGGGTGGTTTGGAAGATGCAGGAATTCAACCAATTACATTTATTACCGTTTGCAAACCTTCCGTTTGACAGTGAAGCGGGGTCCGTTCCACTAGCAGCTCTTACTGTCGGAAAGTTCTTCATGTTTAATCCGAATCTCCTTCATTGCAAATTGAACCCATTGGTTTGAGTCCTGCCCAAACAAGGCGCAGGAGAAAAACAAGCTTGCTCCATCTTCTATGTCTTCAGATGCTTGAATATGGCTAACATAGTCTCCGTCTCCTCTTTCTCAGGCTAAACATACCCAACTCAGTATGTAACACAAAATAACAGTATACAGTGGTACCTCGGGTTAAGTACTTAATTTGTTCTGGAGGTCTGTTCTTAACCTGAAACTGTTCTTAACCTGAAGCACCACTTTAGCTAATGGGGCCTCCTGATGCTGCCTCGCCGCCGGAGCACGATTTCTGTTCTTATCCTGAAGCAAAGTTCTTAACCTGAAGCACTATTTCTGGGTTGGCGGAGTCTGTAACCTGAAGTGTATGTAACCCGAGGTACCACTGTATAAGGGATAAAATGAGAGTTTTCATACTTCAAACAAACTGCCCAAGACAGGATCAAGACAGCTTTTTCTTCACTGCAGCCATAATTTCCTCTTCCCCAATTTCCATTTTTGTGTGTGCATGCCAAATGATCCAGCTAAGGCAGGCTTAGAAATTATATATATATATATAGATATATAGATATATATATATACACACATATATATAATTTATTTTCCATTTAATAATATACACTTACATCATTACAATCCACTTTACATCCCTGGCTCTTTAGAGCCTATCAACTTCCTTCCCTTCCACCTCATGGCTTTCAAAATCAACCTTTGTATCATTATATTTTGTACATTTTCCAATTCTAATTACGCTCATTACAAAATAACTCAAAATTTAAATAAAAATAGAAAGGTAGAAAAATTTCTCGTTACAAGTTTCCGGACAACCCTTCTAGTGATGTTAATTGCTTACAATAATCTTTCAGATATCCTATAAATTTACTCCAGTCCTTTTGGAATACTTGATCTTGCTGGTTTGGGGGGGGGGGGGGAGGAATTATTATTCATTTTGATTTGTTTGTTGCACGATCGGAGGGAGGCAATGTACCACAAATAAAATCAGTTACACACAGAACTCCGGTAGATAAAGCAAAATCTGGAGCCAGAATGAAAAACAGGCATTGATGATGGAGATCAATTCACCCAGCTGGCAAGAAAAGGAAAGAGATAAAAAAATAAATCAAGGAATTATCTGTGGGACTGAGTGTAGGTATGTTTGAGCATTTTTAAGGATTGTATGAAATGTATGTTTGTATGCTTGTATATTTGCAATATGTGTGTATTAATGCTGAATTATTTTAATAATAAAAACTTTTCAAAAAAAGAAAAACTAAAAAACTAAAATCAACCTCCCAATTGGTTCCGCGGACAGCGACACCTGCTGCTTCCGAGCGGAATTGCCCCTCGCAAGGACCGCTCCGTCGCATCTCTCACCCGACGCCCGCACCCGGCCAATGCCAAGGCGGTGCGCGGGGAAGGGGGCGGGACTCGTCCCTCGCGCGCCCCTCCGCGGCGGCGGCGGGGATCGCAGCAGCTAGGGACCATAAAAGACCGGCCGGCGCGATAGAGCAGCTCAGAGCGTCTCGGCGGCCGCTGCAGCATCACGTCGAGGATCCGCATCGGCTCTGAGCGCGTTGGCAACAATGAATCCGTGCCGTCCAGTCCCCTGCGTGGCCGCCCTGCTGGTCTTCTTGCTGCTAGCCGGGAGCGCTTCGCACAGCCAGGGTATGTTAACCTCAGGTGCATCGACGGGGCGGTCCATTAGCATCCTTTCTGCGCCGATTTGCATTTCAGGGGGGTGGGCGATTGCATGCAGCGGGGCAGGTCCCGGGTTTTCCTGGAAGCTCTGCTAGGGTCCAAAATCCATCCATTTGGGCAGCCGTCGGGGGCCAGGAAACTCCGCAAGCTCCCGGAGGCACCGTCGGAGCCTCCGTTGCAAATTTATGGCCGCATTCAGGGGAGGGGAACGAAACCAAAAAAAGCCAGCTAGATGGTTGGTAGAGAGGCAGACTTCGCTGAAAGGTCCTAAACATGATTTTAAGATCTGCGACGGGTGGGACGCATCTTCTGAAACGCGAGGTGATGGGAGATAGCAGATGCCATGCTTTTTGGCTTGAAAATTTTGTAAACCCAGCTCCCAGTCCCCGCGTCCCCACTGTCTGTGGATTTGCTGTGTTTTGTGAGGCAGATGAACTCTGCTCATGCTCAGAGGCGCTCTTCACCTCTGGGCTGTTCACAATAAAGTTGCTTTTTTGCTGGATAAATGGGGGGCAGAGGGTTGAAGTTGTACCACTAAGGTGTGTCGTTTTAGGGGGTGAAACTTAGCTTTTGCAGGTTTTTTGGGGGGGGTATTAAAAATATGCTTTCAGCTGTGAGGGATTCAAATCTGCTTTTTTGTGATTGGATAATATTTAGCTTGGTAGGACTCTGTTTGATGATGAACTGCTTTCAGAAACCCAAAGAATTTGTTATTTTACCTTCAGAAAATGTCAGGTCATCAGCAGCATCGCTGCAAATAATTGGCTATCATTTGTTTATTATTCCTATGCAATTTTACATGCCTTTTTACTTGACGAGCAAAACTAAATTATATAGATTTCACCAAAATGTCTTTTGCATTCCCAAGTCATGCTACAGCTTTTTAGAACCCTTGTGTGTTTTTTAATTTGGAGAAGTTGAAAAATTTGACAGCCACTGTCTCTGCTCCTGACTTCTGCGTATTTAGTAGCTAGTTAAGGCAAGTTGATTGGATAGGCATGAAAGCTGGGATTTAGGCTATTTTCACACCATTATGAACACGTTGAGGTTGGGAGCAGAAGCCTCCCACCCAACCCCACTACCCATCCCCAGCAAATGTTTGAAGAGGGCTTTGCTAGACTTCTGCTCCAAGGCTGATTATGTAATGACCAGGTTCCAGAGACCTTCGGTCTTCATTTGTTGAAAATAACCATGCAGGGAACTTAGTTGTGCTAAAGCCCAAAGCTCTAAGACAGGGGTCAGCAACCTTTTTCAGCCATGGGCCGGTCCACTGTCCCTCAGACCATGTGGTGGGCCAGACTATATTTTGAAGAAGAAAAAAAATGAACGAATTCCTATGCCCCACAAATAACCCAGAGATGCATTTTAAATAAAAGCACACATTCTACTCATGTAAAAACACCAGGCAGGCCCCACAAATAACCCAGAGGTGCATTTTAAAGAAAAGGACACATTCTACTCATGTAGAAACACGCTGATTCCGGGACCGTCCGTGGGCCGGATTGAGAAGGAGATTGGGCTGCATCCGGCCCCCGGGCCTTAGGTTGCCTACCCCTGCTCTACGACTAGCCATCTGAAATTCTAATACATGATCTAGTCGCAGACGACTCTGGGTTGCATCTCATCGTCCAATAGCTGGCTGAGAATTTTAAAGCGTCATGTGATTGGCATGGCTGCCGCTACTGTTGAACGGGATGCAGCGTGGAACTGTGGGTTAAACCACTAGAGCCGGTAGGACAGTGACCGATCAGAAGGTCAGGTGGATTTGAATCGCCGACCTCTGATCGGCAGGCTGAAGGCTCCCATTGCTCGGTCCACTGCTCCTGCCAACCCTAGCAGTTCGACAGCACTATCCAAAGTGCAAGTAGATAAATAGGTACCGCTCCGGCTGGAAGGTAAAGCGTTTCCGTGTGCTGCTCTGGTTCGCCAGAAGCGGCTTAGTCATGCTGGCCACATGAGGGAGCTGTACGCTGGCTCCCTCGGTCAGTAAAGCAAGATGAGCGCTGCAACCCCAGAGTCGGTCACAACTGGACCTAACGGTCAGGGGTCCCTTTACCTTAGAGCAGGGGTAGGCAACCTAAGGCCCGGGGGCTGACTGCGGCCCAATCTCCTTCTCAATCCGGCCCATGGACGGTCCAGGAATCAGCGTGTTTCTACATGAGTAGAATGTGCCCTTTTCTTTAAAATGCATCTCTGGGTTATTTGTGGGGCCTGCCTGGTGTTTTTACATGAGTAAAATGTGTGCTTTTATTTAAAATGCATCTCTGGGTTATTTGTGGGACATAGGAATTCGTTGATTTCCCCCCAAAATAATAAAGCCCGGCCCCCCACAAGGTCTGAGGGACAGTGGACCGGCCCCCTGCTGAAAAAGTTTGCTGACCCCTGTGTTGGAGGGAGGTTGGGTCAAGCGTTTGGTGTGGTTGCGCTAGGTATGTTTTCCTGGGCGGAAGCCAGGAAAAGATACCTTTTGTGATTTGCTTCTCAGTAAATACGCCTAAGGTTGCATAGTCAAATTTCTGCGCTCTCCTTCCACAGCTGCTCCTATGACTGGGGAGCTACGGTGCCAATGCATCCAAACGGTCTCCCGTGCGATTCCACGCAAGCAAATTGCTTCCGTCATTCTCCTCCCCGAGGGACCTCACTGCGTCGTTCCTGAAGTCATGTAAGTGTCCCGGCCTGGGCTCATGACCTCCCTTGCGACTCTGTGCTGTGCAAAAAGCCCCTTCGCTCACCAGCTCAATTCTCTGCCTTCTCTCCCCTCCTTTGAACAGAGCCACCCTGAACAATGGGAGGAAAGTCTGCCTGGACCCCCAAGCGCCGTGGGTCAAGCTGATTGTTAACAAGATTATGGCAAAGGTAACTACAGAAAGCGCTGGGAAGGAGCCGCGCGCAGGATGCGGCGTTTACAATATCATTTGGGATCCATGGTGGAAATCTCAGGGCTCGTCTCAGGGTTTCCTTTTTGGGCTACATTTCTAGGTGCAGGTCAGCGTTTTAAGCTGTGTGTCTGAGAACCTTCCCCCCCCCCCCCCTTTTATTGCTGAAAACAATTATGTGAGAAACCCAAATTAATGGCACCAGTCCATTTTATTTATAAAATGGATTTCTGTACTCCCATATTATAAAAGCTATCAAGGTGAAATAATAATAATAATTAATAATAATAATATTTATTTATTTATACCCCGCCCTTCCCGGTTCAGAAAACTGGGCTCAGGGCGGCTAACAACAAATTAAAAACACTTAATTGATACAACAAAAGACAGCATAAAAACGTGAATAACGATAAATTCAGAATTCAAAAATCAATTGAGAGGGGAAATCCATCCAATAAACATTAGATGATCACCAGGGCTAGCTGGTTAAATTAGTCCTATTTGGGCCAGCAAGGAGACCAGGGGAGAATTAGCTGTGGGATCCCAGAGCAGGTAATCTTTATAAAAAGCGGAGGGGGGAGGGAAGGAAGGGGAATAAAAGATTAGGCTAAGTTCAAATTGAAAGCCAGGCGGAATAGCTCTGTCTTACAGGCCCTGCAGAAGGAAGTTAAATCCTGCTGGGCCCTGGTCTCGTGGGACAGAGCATTCCACCAGGTCGGAGCCATAACTGAGAAGGCCCTGGCCCTGGTGGAGGATAATTTGACTTAGGGCCCAGGACCTCTATGCTATGATTATTCATGGACCTTAAGGTCCTCTGCGGGGCAAACCAGGAGAGGCGGTCCCGTAAATACAGCCTCATTTGAAATTAAATAAGTTAAATTAAATAAATTAAATAAGAAATTAAATTAAATCATTCAGGCAGCTGACAATATGTAGCTCATGATGACATATACCTATTGGGTCTCAGCTTGAAGTGCTTTCAGAAGGTCAGGTGAGGCAACCAGCTTTGCAGTTTCTCACCTTCTCATTTGCATAAATATATCTCTTCCTTTTTCTGGTTTCAGCCCTAACATGACAAGCTGCGAAAAATGCTCTGGGCATGTCGTACGGAGCGGTTGTGGAAAGCCTCTGGTTAGAGAAGCTGGATGTTGAGCACCTTAAGAACTGAACCACTTTACAACTATCCACTCGTATTTATTATCGAAACGGATCGGAATGTATTTATTGCTACCTGTAGCTATAGCCGGCCGCCTGATGGATTCAGCACGCTAGATGCCACTGTTATGTATTCTGCGAAGCCAACTGAATGTACACTGAACACTGTTTCTGCAATGGGGGGTGGGTAGAAATATTCTCTATTAAGTACAGTGGTACCTCGGGTTACATACGCTTCAGGTTACAGACACTTCAGGTTACGGACTCCACTAACCCAGAAATAGTACCTCTGGTTAAGAACTTTACTTCAGGATGAGAACAGAAATCGTGCTGCGACAGTGGGAGGCCCCATTAGCTAAAATGGTACCTCAGGTTAAGAACAGTTTCAGGTTAAGAACGGACCTCCAGAACAAATTAAGTTCTTAACCTGAGGTACCACTGTATATCGATAAAATGCCAAAGAGTGCCATTCAGCTAATAGTATTCTGGGCAGTCCCCGCTGAAATGAATGGGAGCGGCACAAGAGACCTGGCACATTTTTTATTACACATATATTCATAGAATTGTGGAGTTGGAAGGGACCCTGTGGGTCATCTAGTCCAACCCGCTGGAATTCAGGAATCTTGCCCACAGCTGTCCCTGGGTGGGCTTGAACCACTAACCTTCTGGTTTATAGCCAGACACACTTGCCCATTGCTGTGAAGGTACAACTCACTGATATTATTGCTGAAAACCTGGCTATGAACCTATGGAATGAATTTTGCTTCATGAACTTTGCTTAATGAGTATATTTAAATAAGGAATTTTATTATTTAAAAAAAACCTTGTAAAGAACAGTGATGTTCTATATACACTTGGATATTTCATGTCTTCAATGTATGGCATACTGCCATGTTTTTTTAGGGAATGAGCATTTTATCATTGTGTCTCTGGATTATAAATTCCTTTTCTTATCTGTTTAACTGTGGAATGCCACGCATTCTGTATAAAAATAAATAAAATGTTTTTTTCTAATTATAGTGCATTGAACTATATTTTTTCTTTCAGAGTCTGTTGTTGAATTTTTATTTATTTATATACTACCAATTAACTCAGAAGTTAAAAACAAATAAACAGGGAAAGTACATTTTTTAAAAATCCAGTTGATAACCCTAAGGGCACTATTAATTCCTGACCTTAAGGAAACACAGGAAAAGATTGAGAGCACACATGTTTTTAACAAACACCAAAATAGAACCAAGGATGGAATTTATTAGAGTCCTGAGGAGAGGCTACTCCATTAAACAAGGGGCCACCACAGAAAAGCCTCTCCCCGTTTCTGCTAACTGAAACAACATCAAAACCAAGAAAGCCTCCAGTTCTGAGCTCAATGCTCAGACCGAATACACATTTATTATTATTCTGTTCTGCCTTATGGCCTGTTTATATATAATGGAAATTAAAATTTTACACGGAAGCAGCAGCCAATATAAAACGAGGAGATAAAAATGTTACAGTACAGCAAAAGTTGTTGTTGTTGTTTAGTTGTGTCCAACTCTTCGTGACCCCATGGACCAGAGCACGCCAGGCACTCCTGTCTTCCACTTCCACTTCCTCCTGCAGTTTGGTCAAACTCATGCTTGTCGTCCCCTTCTCCTTGTGCCCTCCATCTTTCCCAGCATCAGGGTCTTTCCCAGGGAGTCTTCTCTTCTCATGAGATGGCCAAAGTATTGGAGCCTCAGCTTCAGGATCTGTCCTTCCAGTGAGCACTCAGGGCTGATTTCCTTCAGAATGGAGAGGTTTGATCTTCTTGCAGTCCATGGGACTCTCAAGAGTCTCCTCCAGCACCATAATTCAAAAGCATCAATTCTTCGGCGATCAGCCTTCTTTATGGTCCAGCTCTCACTTCCATACATCACTACTGGGAAAAGTACCCTCCCCTTAAAAAAACAAAACAACCTCAGCACACACTACTTCCTACCTGAAAGACTTTCTGAAATACAAAAGTCTTCACAAGCTTACCTAAAGGCCAAAAGGTCTGTTATAATGTTATAACAGCTTCATCCTGTGGCGTTTGGTAGCATTTTGCCTTGATAGGGCTGCAATTTTTAACCTTGCTGTTTATGTATATGGGAATGGGTACGAGGTGCAATTTTGTCCCATTTGCCTTGGGGAAAAAATTATATGTTTGTTCCTCAGTCACATCTACACGATATTGTGCAGTGCTGCCTTAGTTATGCGGAGAGAAATTTGAGGAAGATTCACAAAGATCCTGATCCCTTTGCGTGTTTATTCAGAAAAAAAGTCCTATTGGCCTGGTTTGAACACAAAGCTAAGCCATAGTTTGTTTAACAAACAATAAGCTGTCTCGCTGATAATCAAGCACAGCATGGTTTTTCTCCAAAGTTTTTGTTTTCTTGCTGTTCCTTTCTCGTGCCTTTGTGGCTTGGAGAGTTCCGGGTACAGCATGGCTGAACAAACTGTGGTAACTCCAATCCATAGTTGAGCCAAACCAAGGTTTCTAAGAAGCAACAAACCATGGCTTCAGGTCATGGTTTCTTGGCAGTAAACAAACCATGGTTAAGTCACTGGGCAGGTTCACACGTAATGCTATGGCATGATTTATTAAACAAGGAGTGAGATACAGAAACCACTGATGATGTAAAGGGAAGAAAGCATGTAGGATGCAGTGGGAAAAAGCAGGGCATTTTGGATGGAAAATGTGTTTAAAAATAAAGACAGCACAATCTTCTGCATGTCTACTCACTAATGAGAAGTAAATCTGATTCAATCCAATGGGACTTTCTTCTAGGTAATATGTGTATAGGATTGCAGCCTTAGATTAGCGAAAAGATAAATGTGGCTGTTAAGAGTGATGAATTTTGCACTCCTTTTCTGTACTTTCTGAAGCATTCACTCCAGTTTAAGCTATGATAGGAGAAGGGGAAGATTTCCTTGGTGGCTCTTAGCAGATTTCCTCTACAGCTGTTGATAATGATTTGTCAAAAGTCTCCAGAGTAACAAAGCAAAGCTGCAATGCCAACCATGTCTACTCAGAAGGAAGTTCTATCAAATTCAATGGGGATCACGCCCAAATAATGGGGTGAGAATTGGAGTCATTCTTACTGTCAGGATACATCTGAGTCAGCTGACTAAATCCACATCCAGGTTGTGGTTAGGAATTGCATAATTTAAAAATGGGACCTGCATCAAAGTGTTGCAGTGTGAAGTACATGTGATGAACAGATAACGCTTGTGGGTTTCCAAGAAGCTCTGTGAAAGTATGAGGAATATTGTAAAAAGGGGAATAGGATTGGGGAGGGTATAATAAAAGGCAATGTTAAAATTAGGAAATGCGTAAACAATAAACTAAAACGAGAGATTGGCAGAGAAACTGAGGGAAGTCCAAAAGAAAAATGTGTGAGAAATTTTGATATGGTTTTATAAATTTGTATTTGAAAATGAATAAAAAATATTATAAAAAAAACAAAGTGTTGCAGTGTGGGTTGCTTCTGTTCAGGATACCAGCCAATCAGTCATGCTCACCACAATATCTGGTTTTCCATACACACACACACACACACACACACACACACACACACCCCAGTTAGCATTTTATGGCCACTGAACACTTTTAATTCTCCTTGGGGACTGTTACTCAGGTTTTACTCCTGCAACAAAGAAGCTCTTTAGCGTCATTATGAGATCTGTGCATGCAAGATGTTCAGAGGCGCTTTTTGAAACAAACAATTCTAATTCACAGCAGGACATTTCTGATCAGTAAATCATTGCGGGCTCTGAGAGATTGAAAACAGAGCACTCATAGACTGAATCACTGCTGTTTGATCAAGCCACAACTCTTTTGCAATACTGGGAATTACACACTCAAAACAAAAGCCCAGGATATCAGTAGCTCAGCCATGTTTTTAAAAAACGGGGGGGGGGGGGAGGGATAGCAATGACACAGACTTCTAAAATAGTCACATTCCATTTCCGGAATTTTTGAACATTGAGCAAATAAATGGATTTGGCAGACACACGTGTCATGATTTGTTCTATTTATTTTAATTCATCCTTTTAAACTTATTTTGCCAAAGATGAGGCAATGAGATAAGATGAATCGTTTTTATTGCGTTAATGACTTTTCAATCCTGCATTTTCTCGAAAGAGTTCAAGGTGCCGTACACGATTCTCTTCCCCACCGCCATTTTTGTCCTCCCAACAATCTGTAAAGGTAAAATTACCTGCAAGGTGCATTTGGCTGGGAGATGGTGAGCTTCATAGCCCCGTGAGCTCCATAGCCAAGTGCAGGTTTGAATTTTTGGCCCTCCCTCCTGGTGTTAGTCCAACACTGTTGGACTAATTAGCACCACATTCTGGATAAGGCAGAGCTTAACATGAAATGTTGAACTCTATCAACTTTTATAGGTTAACGTCAGAATCACGGTAAGGAACATTGGGAGCTGCTTTATACTGGTATGTCCAGTATTTTGGTATGTCCCACTCAAATTGGGACCAGTGACGTAGTGTGTGTGTGTTTAGGGGGGGTTGTAATGTGGGGGGGGGCACAAAATTGTTAGGGGCACAAAATTTCAACACCTGGTGCTGCCTCAAAACATCTCTGTGGGCCCTGCTGAAAACAACTTCTCCATGCAAACCAGGACGTGACCTCTCCAGATAATGGAACGACTCTTATTTTCTTATCTCTGCGGCTGTGATCTCCTGGGTGATGGAGATGCCCTTAGGCAGTTGAATGTGCATTCTTACTCCATCCGTTACCCATCCACCCCCTTCGCACGGCCCCGGGCACTGGCAACCCACGCTGCGTCACTGATAGGGATGGTTGAGGGGTAAGCTATAGCCCAGGGGTCAACAACCTTTTTCAGCCATGGGCCGGTCCAGAATCCCTCAGACCATGTGGTGGGCCAGACTATATTTTTTGGGGGGGAATTATGAACGAATTCCTATGGCCCACAAATAACCCAGAGATGCATTTTAAATAAAAGCACACATTCTACTCATGTAAAAACACGCTGATTCCTGGACCGTCCGCAGGCCGGATTGAGAAGGCGATTGGGCCGCAGTCGGCCCCCGGGCCTTAGGTTGCCTACCCCTGCTATAGGTAAAGATAAAGGGACCCCTGACAGTTAGGTCCAGTCACGGACGACTCTGGGGTTGCAGCGCTCATCTTGCTTTACTGGCTGAGGGAGCTTCCAGGTCATGTGGCCAGCATGACTAAGCCGCTTCTGGCGAACCAGAGCAGCGCATGGAAACGCCATTTACCTTCCCGCTGGAGCGGTACCTATTTATCTACTTGCACTTTGACATGCTTTCGAACTGCTAGGTTGGCAGGAGCAGGGACCGAACAACAGGAGCTCACGGGGGAATCGAACCGCCGACCTTCTGATCGGCAAGCCCAAGGCTCTGTGGTTTAGACCACAGCACCACCCACGTCCCTTACCCCTGCTACAGCCTATCCCAAATTGCTTGGGCAGACCAGCTACATGTCATCACGATGCAAGGAGAAAGCCTGCCCCTTGCCTGTGCTGCCTGGGGTTGGTGGGAACTAGAGTCCACCAGCAAAGGGATGTGCTATATCTAGCCAGCCCCTTGGTCCATCTTGCACAGTCTACTGACCGACAGCATCTCTTCCGGCAGGGGACATTCCTATCCCTACCTGGAAATTGAAACTGGCACTTTCTGCATGCAAGGCAAATGCTTTATCATGGAGCTATGGCTCTTCCCCAGTCTGGAAGCCCATTCCTTCCCCACAATTTACCTTGCTGAGAAGCTTTTTATTGTGGCACTTTGGTGGCTGACGGACAAAGGAATTACCCATCACAATCAGCCTTTCTGAAGTTAGTATTTGCCCTGTTTAAAAAAACGAGGACAGAGAGGGAATTATGGGGGGAGATTTCTGAAGCTTCTTAAAAATTACAAATACCTGTGTCTTAGATCCCAGGTTTCGCCATTCTGCCTAGGCTAGATCATTTGGATTTCAGCAAATTTATTCAGCAGTTGAATGCACTGAGGAAATGC